TTCTACTGGAGTGGTAGCAAATCTAATTATGTGTCGCTGTGGGAGCTCTGCTGCATAATTAAATCCATAACTACTACTTTAGACTGAAGCCGATGAAATATAATAGCTATAAACGTTAAGTAGCCCATTGTGTAAAAGGGCCCATTACACCAATAATGCGACAGCTTCGTTTTAAAGGATCACCTCTTACTGTGCTTTAAACTCTTTTCCATCAATTCTCTCTTACTTCAGGCTCAGCTGGCTCATTTAATGCTGGAAATAGAAAAGTACTTCAATATTTTACCTGCTTTTGACTAATTGAGGATCACTGGAGGGCAGCAGCTGATCCCAGCATCGACATGGGGAAAGAAAGACAGATTTGAAGTGCAAGAGTCTGTTTTTACCCATCTTGTACTTCTATTTTAACGTTTAGTATGAATACAGTACTCTCTTGGACAATGCAACAGACAACATGGTTTATGTTATGGCCACCATTTGTACATTTTTGCAATGTATAATAATAATAAACATAATGTGTTCAACATCTCCCATGGTGTTGCACCACTGGCACAGACTTGTTTCACTTCTACCCATTACGTTTAGTTTTCGATTGAATACCTGCACGTTGTATTGGTAGAGCTGGTAAAGGGACTATTAAGATAACAGATAAGATACAATAAGACTTTATATATCCCGAAGGAAATTGTTGTGCCAGAGTTACAAAGAGTTACTGAGCCCCCACCACCCCAGCTTCTGCCCCAGCATCATTGGCGGATTGGCCATCGGGACGTTCGGGACGAATTCCGAAGGGCCGGTACTGAAGTGGGCCGGTCGGACGATGTGGGCCAGTCGGATAAGTCTAGCCCCCCCCCCTCGTTGACAATTTACCGGTCGGATAAGTCACTAGCACCCCCCCCCCCCCCCCCCCCTTCCCGTTGACAATGTACTAGCGGTAACGGTAATTACTTGCGTTACCGAGGTGGGCCAGTCGAGAGGAGTCCCGGGCTGATTTGTAGTCCCAGTCCGCCCCTGCCCAGCATCCTCCTGTAGGACAATGGGATTGTTATTTAATCATCACTCAATGTTCTATGTACATTTGTGGAGTGATGAGGCCCAAGCCTAGATGCCAAACTTAAATGCTGCTTCTAATAAACATTACAAACGTAAGTTGTCTGACAAAAATCCATTAATGGTCTGACATAATCACAAGGACACAAATTGAGCCTTGTTTATACATTTGGAGAATGGATTTCCCCTTTAAAGCTAGACTGAGTAACTTTTTCTGAACAATGTAACACTGCAGCCTTTATAGAAAGTAATGGGATAATGACAAAACTATCTAGTGCTGTTTAGTATTTCCTGTTAAGCCCCAAGCATGTTTTGCAGGTCTCAGGCTCAAAAATGACATTCCCAGAACAAATGACAATAACTTCCCTTCTAAAAGGGGTCAATTAATAATCTTTTTTCTCAAAGCAAGGATAAACCTGTGAGTTGGATGTAGAGAAGTCAGAATTAATATAGATGTTTTTTATTTTAAAGTAAATTTAGATTGAACATAGTAAAAACATGTAAATTATATGGCCCGTCACATAAACCATTACTTATAGTGAAAACCACCCTTGAATGATGGGTTAGTAGACTAAAAGCTTTAGGAATCCAAACTATAACATATAATAAGTACCCTGTGTCAAGATTGATGCAAAACAAGTTAAATGTGACCTTTTTAGAGAGATTTAGCACAAAAAAACCCACTTCTGGGGTCATTTGGGTGGATTTGACCTATCTCTAGCCCCCCTTGGTCGATTTTACTGATTGCCATCTCTTTTTAACCGCTAGAGCCAATGGAATCGAGGGAAGTTCCACATACACACACACGTTACCAAATAAGGAGTGAGAGTGACGCGTAGCCACAACCGGAAGCTGCGATACACTCTGGTGGCTACTATTAGCTACCATTAGCAGCTAATATGAATTCTCTGATTTTTACATACAAATGGAATTATGGATTATCAATAATTTTTTCAAAGAGACAGACACATTGGATTAACCTATGGATTAACGTTCAGCTGCGTTTTTATCGTTTTAATGCCATTGAACACGACTTTTGATCAGAATAACAGCTAAAGGTTAGCATATCTCCGTGTTTTGCTACCTAAACCTACGTTGTGTGATGTCTGTATTTGCTTCCCCTGTCGCGAGTTCTGATCGCTCAGTGATGATACTTATATTTCTATAATCTGTGGACTCTCAGGATGTTAGCTAAGCTTGTTTGTGCAGATCCGATAACTATACCGATCGATTTATACCTAGAGTTTTGTGCTAAGTGCGTTAGCATGTTTTCACTCAGGGCTCATTTAGACCCTTCTTGTGAGACTTGTTTTATTTCGGTAAACATGGTTCATATCATCAGTTAGCTGAGTTTCGTCCCGTTAGGAGGGTATGACACATTCATAGTTTTTTAAATATTAAGAAGCCCTGAGACACAGTGTCGTGAAAAAACCTGTTAAGACCCCGTTGGCGGTTAAGCAAAGTCAGTGGTTGTTGAAACACTAGATCTAATAAATCAGAGAGGGTCAGCTCATAGAAAGGCCTTCTGTTTGAAATGTTTACTATAAAACTTTACCTACACACATACTCCACTGGTCATTGTGTTAGTCAAACAGAATGATTGTGTTATCAAATATATCAAATTACTATTCAATGTAGTAATTTGTATATTTATGTATTTTTGAGATGATTAAAGCTCAGGTTCCAAAGTTCTATATGTTTTGTTTTCACTTGAGAGCAGCTGAGGAGCAGGTCTCTGTCCTCTGGTGTTAAATGCTGTAATGAGCAGGAAATCCAAAAGGGTCTGACTGTTAAAGTGTTGTACTTGTTCCGTGTGAATACATTAGAGCAGTGATTCTCAAATGGGGGTACGCGGACCCCTGGGGGTACGTTGGGGTACTGCAGGGGGTACGTGAGATTAAAAAAAAAAAAAAAGTTAATTAAAAAAATACCATGCATGATTACAAAAATAATCTTAGTACAATAAGTTAAATAGAAAACACAATTTTATATAAAATATTTCTAGAACCACCAAGGGGGTTCTCATAAACATGTCAAATGTGTGTATTGTATAGTTTTTCACAATCTATCATTTTGTTCATTGGTTTGTTAAATATATATTACTTCAATTGAAAAACTCCTTGGAAAAATCTGTTTTATAAAATGTTATGTTATGTTGTTTTTTTCATGCATGAAGATGAACATATATATATATATATATATATATATATATATATATATATAGTTTGTTGTAATGCATGCATGAAGGAGTAAATAAATCACACACTGAGGGAACATCACTATATTGGAATTATTTGTAGGCTATAGGGTTTTTCGATCAAAAATGTTCGGGGTCGGTCAGGGGGTACTTGGCTGAGAAAATGTTTCAAAGGGGGAACATTACTGAAAATGTTTGAGAAGCACTGCATTAGAGCTCTGAAATACAGTTACAAATGTTCAAAGGTAATTTCATCAACATTCATTTACCCTAAGTTGGGAAGTCAGTATTGTTGTGGCTCAAACAAAATGTGTTCACCTTATGCAATAATACAACATTCATTTAATCTTCATCATGCAAGTACAAATGTAACATTCAAAGAATTAGTTAAACAGTAAACAGTGACATTTTTTATTCCACAGATGCCGTATTTCACTTGCTTGTCTGTTGATTCAAACTATTGCAACATGTTTCCATGTCTTTTTCAGTCTCTGTGTATCAGATACATGTGGGAGCAGCACAGCTGTAACAACAGTTCCAGACAACACTACACATCTAACATGTGAGTCGTGATGAATACTAACCTCAAATGTTCTCAAATAACTCACTATTAAAAATGAAATCTGTTGACGAACATTACAAACAAACTTTAAATACCGTCTAGCTCTGTGGAAGATATAGTTAAATAAAGCAGAAATGGTTTGAAATGAAAAGTATTTATCTTCTTTTTAACTTTAAGTTCATATGAACAGCGACCAAACTCCTTTTTTGAGCAAATGTAATTTATTAAATGGACTATAAGCCGCAGGTGTTTTAATGTTTAATTACCATATGTAAGGGTTCGTGCACAGAGGGGCTTGTCGGGAAAGAGATGGCTGTTTGAGGAAGCTCCCATTTATTAACATTTCAATAAACAAGTTGCATATTTGCATAACGTATTCAAGTGTTACCATGTAGTGCAATAGTAGCTACAGAACATGTGCTGTGTAAACTGTACTGTATCACATAGCGTTTCAGACACACAAACTTTTCAACTTTCAAACTTAAACGGTGCGCTCCCAGCGCACGTACCGGCAGTGATCTCCAGCAGTGGTTTTCAACCAGTGGTACGGGGACCACCAGTGCACTTCCTTTGCACAAACTGTCTCGTTCTCGTAATGTCTGTCTGTCTTGCTCTCGTTCTGTCTCTCGTACCACTCTCGGTTCCACTTTTGCTTTTGCGCGCTACCTGTCTCACTCTTTTCCGGCCTCCAGCTTTTCCTGCTGGAGCCCGCCGCTTAAAGGTGGGGGGCGCGGACCGGTCATAGTGCCCATAGAGTTAAAGGTGGTGGACTGTAACCTGTAAAATCCATAGATTTAGGAGATCCCCTAGTGGCCGTTAGCTGTAAAAATCCATAGATTAGCCGCACCGTTATATAAGCCGCAGGGTCGGAAAATGGGGAAAAAATATAGCTTATAGTCAGAAAATTACGGTAATTTAGCCTAAATTGAGAAGTATTGGATAAGTATGGGAACAGCACAGGTGTTGAAGTCCCATCAGTACCTACTCTATCTAGCATGTGGAAACATCGCCAGCTGAGCCGTTACTCTTTTTTTAGCTGATGTCCAGACACTGTGTGGTTGTGTGAAACAGACAGAGTATGCCAAGTTCAGTTGACCAATAATATTAAGCCAACAGTGAAAACACCCTCTCCGATGCATATAAAAAGCACCCAGTCATCTGTATCCTTCAGAGTCTCTATCCCATCGAACGCTTCAAATAAACTCAACCGACAACCAACCCTTCACCCTGCTCCTGTGACGGAGAGACATCATCATGCTGTTGTTCTTCTTCCTGTTGGGTCTGGCTCTGGGTGCTGTGTCTCCTTCAGATGAGCCTCAAGTGAAGCTTGAGCGTGGCAGCTGTCCTATGTTCTGGTTCTCCTTCAACGACCGCTGCTACAAGTACATCGCCGCATATTTGACCTGGGCTGAAGCAGAGTTCCACTGTGTTTCACAGGGAGGCAACCTGGTGTCTATCCACAGTCAGGCCGAAGAGGATTTTGTCAGATCACTGATCAAGAGCTTTGACCCTACTGAGGGATGGACCTGGAACGGACTCAGTGACGTCCACCACGAAGGAAGATGGATGTGGTCTGATGGGTCTGCAGCCAAGTTATTCTTTTGGAATTCAGGACAGCCAGACAATAAAGGAGGACATCAAAACTGTGTCAACACCAACTATTATCAGAAATGGGACGATTTGGGATGTCATTTTTCTTATCCCTCAGTTTGTGCATCTCGCATAACTTGTCCTTAGCAACTGAGATGTTATATATGTTTGATTGAACCAGGTCACTGTAAAACTGTTACTCTGTTAACATGCTTTGGACCACAATAAAGACATGAATGTACACTTATATGTGTGTGTAAAGAAGTCATTTTACCAACCTTTATTTCCATGCATTTTATATATACACAGGTAATTCGATTAAATACGATCTCAAACTTAAATGAATGAAAACACATAAAAGTGTGTGTTTTCATGTGTGCATAAACATTTTTATTTGTTTCTCTTTGGATTTCAAGAAAATGAACAAGATACAGAAAAAATACATAATTAAAAAGAAATGACAATTATAGTTAATTAAATTAGAATTAATAATTGAACTCAAAATAATAACAAAAACTAATAAAAACAGAGAAAAAATACTATATAAACCAATAAATAAAATGTATTAATAACAACAATCAATATAATATATATATATGTTTAAATATACATCAGGTAAGAATCATATCATACTGTCACCCCTCACCTTTCACCACAACAATAATATTCATGTTAAGGTTAATAATTGTTCCTACATCAAGATCATATAACCAGGCAAAGTATTACTGTAGCAGCCTGTCCTCCTACAAAAAACGACCATTGTTCATGCCCTTATTACGACCCAGAGACACGTTTTAAAGTGTATGTTGTTTCTTACACGACCACTAGGTGCTCGTGTAAGAAACAACATGCTTGATTGCAAACGCAATCCTCCGTCCGAGTCCAATTTTGGAAAGTCTGCCGTGGTTACATTCCATTTCAAAGAACTGTTGACGCTCTGCGTAACCTTGTCGCACTGCCACTCCAACATCCAATCACAGAGCTTGAGGACTAATCACGTGGTTTGTAAAGCAAAGCAGAGGTTGTAGTCCCAAATTATAGCTGAGGATTCTGGGTAGTGTAGTGTCTTCGGAAACTGTAGTGTCTAAACTCCGAAAAAACTATTTGTTTCTCTGAATCGAAGGTTAAAAACACAAAAGCATTGTTCACAATTTAAACCAATCAATATTATGTAATTAACAAGGATAAACTGATGTTTCTTAGTGGATGAGTAATGCTGATATCACTGTGATTATTTGACAGAGGGGAATACTTCCGGTTTTATTATGAATACTTCGAGACCGGAAAAACAGTTTTCACCCCGTGAGGGTTGACGCCAACTTTACATTGACGCTACGTAAAGACGTAGTACACGTTTCTCCTGGCGAGACCTCAAATCATCTTCGTAATATCTATCAAACTGTAGATCCTACACATCTACTGGACGTGGATTCTAAGAGTACAATATACACTTATCGCCAGAAAATCGAATCAAAAAGCGTTTTCATGCCCAAACTATTGCACAATTTAGGATTTTCCAGAGAGGGTTATTTGTGAATAAACGAATAAACGGGAGCATGTTGTTTCTTACACGACCACTAGAGGTGCTACACTTTAAAACGTGACGTAGGTCGTAATAAGCTGCTGAACAATCGACCTATTTGGTCGTTTTTTGTAGGAGGACAGGCTGCGAAAAATGCAAACAAAAGGTCTGAATACAAAACACATTTACATTTGGCTGGCAGAGAACTCACTTCTCCATAGTTTCTCCTTGGTTAACTGGACTTCACATTCACACTGTACATCTGATATCTATATTGAATTGAATACTCCATTCCATGCACACTAATAATATCCTGCTTATATTGTGTATATTGTGTTAACAGAAAATTGGCCCTTCAATAGTGTTTTTATTTGTCAGACAGTTTATAGATTTGTTATCTTCACGGTCATCTGTATATTTTGCCTACTCTCTAATGCTGGTTTATTTCTATTGTGACATGTTTCTATTTTAGAATGTGTTATTTCCACTCTTTTAATTTGTTGTTATATGCAATGCCTTGTTTCCCAAATTGGGATTAATAAAGTACATCTTATTTACACTTAACCAAATGTATTTACATGTAATGCAGCTTTTACTCAGTAGATGGCAGCAGAGCCCAGTATTTATGTTTTAAATATGTTTGTTGAACCCTTATGTTGTGTTCGGGTCTCCCGTGACCCGTTTCAAGTTAAGGCTTCATGATATCCTCCACAACAGCTATATACAAACAACTGATCTTGACAATTTTAACAAAGTCTGAAGGTCTGAAAGTGTATAATTCGGTGTTCGGGTCTGGGAAGACCCAGCAGAATAGTTTTGGGTCACTCGGGGTCAAATTTGGCCCAATCAAGATTCATCTCTGACTTTGGACACCCCTCCCCCTTCATCCACTGTAACAATCATTTAAAACTCTTGTTGGGGAGATTGTATTCTAATATGAGTCTATTATAGTCAGATAACGTAATGATCCACTGTCTTCACTAACATATAGTGAGTGAATTGAATTGCATGTTTTACTTAAATATGTGGTGTAATGTGTTTTGGGGCCGTACAATAACAACAGGATTGTACGGTTATGAATACATAATAAGTTAGTTATGATGTTAAAACAATATTGGATGATAGTCATTATTTTGGAGTGTTTTGGACTGAGATAAATCATGGGTCAAAATTGACCTGCGAACACCATGAACGGTAACAGCTTCCTAACACAGCACAAGGGTTGATCACAGCAAACAACGTCTTAATAATCTTGTCTAATAATCTTTAGCAGCTTTATAGATTTTTGTCAAGTTGTAAAAATGTTCTGTACATGTTTCCGGGAGCTACTGTGAAAGTGTGACTTAACTGCAAACTCTTAGTGAAATAAAGTAAATAGTGGCCAGGTTCAACAACACATACAGTACGTGTCAAGCATTTCTTGGACACGGAAAACAAATAATAATTATAATGAAACTTAAATGTGACGTTTATGAGCTGCTTGGTTTTTGTAACAGTTTTTTTTATTATGCAGTTTACTAGTAACACAACTATTTGTACACAAAGCGTTTCATGATATATGTATATACACGTATATGCTCCTGTAGTGTAAGCATATATTCCTGCTACTGACTGCAGTATTTTTGACTTTTTAAGAACATTTTAATCATCCAGAATTGTTATACAGTAGGGTTCGTTTATATTGTTCATATTTGATATCATATTTTTCATTTTATTTTTAGTTGTTAATTTTCTATTCCACTTTTATTTATTATTATTTTAATGTCTGAACATACTCTCTGTCATTCTGTGTGTGTGTGTGTGTGTGTGTGTGTGTGTGTGGTGTGTGTGTGTGTGTGTGTGTGGGTGTGTGTGTGTGTGTGGGTGTGTGTGTGTATGTGTGTCTCTCTGTCTGTCTGTGTGTGTCTGTGTGTGTGTGTGTGTGTGTGTGTGTGTGTGTGTGTGTGTGTCTGTCTGTCTGTCTGTCTGTCTGTCTGTCTGTCTGTCTGTGTGTGTGTGTGTGTGTGTGTGTGTCTGTCTGTCTGTCTGTCTGTCTGTCTGTCTGTCTGTCTGTCTGTCTGTCTGTGTGTGTGTGTGTGTGTCTCTGTCTGTCTGTGTGTGTGTGTGTGTGTGTGTGTGTGTGTGTGTGTGTGTGTGTGTGTGTGTGTGTGTGTGTATAACCGTTTTTCACATGGGAAGGTAGTGCAACCCCAACTTCCATGTTCTCAACACACGGTGGCAGCAGCGCTCCACTCAGGAATCATGAGTCCTCATCAGTACCACATTTAGCCCACATGAGACCTTTCAGAATAGAAACATGTGCAGCAGGAGATTCAAATTCAAAGGTGTTATTGTCATATATGCACAGCAGCTAAGTGTAGAGGGCAATTCTTCTGACCTGCGCTCCTCCAACAATCAACATACAACACAAAATAAAAAGTAGTGCAACAAGTCTATGTTTGGAGCAAGGCTATGACAATACAAAACAAAGGGGCTCTATTGGCATGACCACATTTTAAACGTATTGCCAAAGCTTTCCGCACAACTCATGATAGCAGAACAAAAAGAAACATGACAGCTCCTTCTCCTGCTCTGATGGAAACTCCTGACTCCTCTGAACACATTAGTGAAGGTTGAGGGGGGGGGCATACATCTTCTGCCTCTTGTGAACCAACATGTGAGGTTTTTATTTACCCACAATCCTTTGATTGAAAACATGACGCCACAGAGCTGCTGGGAGAAGAGATGGGAGGAGGGGCTTGTGTTGCATAATGGCCCCAAAGATATCTGTTTTTTCTGTTATTGTTATCTATCTTTGATGCTGACATTTTGTCTCTGTTTATCGATTAGTTTCTCTCTTCTCTCAAACGTACTATTCCTAATCTCCTGCTGTAATGCTAGTATACTATCACATTTTGTATGATCATGTATTTGTTTCTATATTTAGATCAGGATTATTCTACCTAAATAACTAATGTTGGATCTTAGATAAGACCTACTTTTAAAAGGTAGATAAATGTTACATCAGCTTGTTTACTTTGAAGATAAAGAGGAGACTGCACAGTATTATACTTTGACCAAGTATTCATAAGCATTCAATCAAAATCCCTTCAATTGTCTTCGTCCCCCCCCCTTACTTTGGTGTTCTCGGTCAAATTTGACCGGTCCTGTTTTAACTGCTATTACATTAACACAAAAACCATTAATCATCACCAAATTTCATTTAACACCCTTTCAAACTGTACATATTGTATCAGACTACTGGTACACATGAAACACTGCAGTAAATATACAAAGAACAGACACTGAACATGTATTGCGTGTGCCAGGTGTGATCCATGTGGGGGGAGGGGCACATAAGAGCGGGAAATGTGTCAAATTGTTCTGTGGGTGTGTTTGTGAGTGCCAAGTGTGATTAACATGGGGGGGATTGGGCACATAAGGACACACACACATCTAGTGTGTGTGTGTGTGTGTGTGTGTGTGTGTGTGTGTGTTATCTGATCCG